CTTATCTTTTTGTTTGCTACCACCAAAGTATGTACATCTACTACCTCTAGTACTTTTGCTAAATTGTTTAGTATAAATTAAAAATAAATGAGAAATTAGTCTGTTTTACATGGTTGAGTACTGGAATTGTATGTATAATAAAATGATTTCTACTCTCCCTGCTTTAACAGTGTTGGTAGTACTCAGATTTTCGAGAAGCATGTAATAGGATATGATTTACAGACCTATTATACTTAGTCCATAATTATTTTCTGACATGGAATCAAAACCTAATGGAGAAATTAATGAATACTGTCCTTTAGTGTGTTTTCAGTGAATACTACGAAAATAAAAAATTCATAAAAAATAGATGTGTATAAATCCTGCTAGTTTTTCTAAAATATTAAGACTGTCTTCTAATCTTATAATTTTTTTAGAAGAAAACTGAAAGAGAATTTCAATTGCATACTCACCAGTAGAACAAACTTCCAGCCATGAGGCAGGGGGAGGAGAAAGAAGGATGATGAAACAACGCAAACTTCATAGGTCCTGTCTTAGGACCAGTCTCTCACGAGTAGTAACTCAGCAAGATGAAGTTATTTGTACAACTGAGATGTGTGTCCAAGTGCGCTAAAAGGTAATAATAGCCAAGGCAGGAAGAAGTAGAACACCAAGACATAAATCTGGGTATGTCTTCCAAGATTGTGAGTGTGAAGAGAGATAAGCAGCCATGTTTGAGGAGGAAAAAAAGGAATTTTAGGCACAGAATAGGTGGAAACAGTAAAATTATTGGAGAAAATGATCTACTCTTGTCAGACTGTACATACTCTTTTAGATAGACTGTATCTTCAACAATACAATCTCATCACTACTAGGTTGTTTTTGTTGTGTTTTTTGTTTTTTGTTTGTGTTCGTTTGTGTTGGCTTGGGAATGCCCTGCTCCTGTGTATTAAACCAGACAAAGAAATTCTTTTTCTCTGGTTGTAGATACATCCTGACACGACAGTTCTCATATTGTTAGTGTATATTGTACTGAAAATATTAGGACCTATTACTGAGGAGGCAAGTGATTCTTGTAGCCAAAATCCTCCTGGATTCTCAGTCACCATTTAGTAATTATTTGGCTTGTCATCAATGGCAGTTTACACCTCTATGATTTCATTTGCAAAAGTAATACCATGAACACTAACAATGTTCCAACATCTTTCTCAGTAATTGTCCGTAATGACTGCATCTGGAGCTTTCAGTGGGATTTAGTAATCCATTTTATAGAAAGGATAATTGCTGAAAATATTTTAACCCAATTTGTGGAATAAGTTTTATTATTTTCTAATGAATATGTCACATGTCATCTTTAAAACTTTGTCAGAGTCATTTTGTTGTTATTGTTGGGGTTTGGATACTTTTAAATAAAAAATACAAAAAAAAATGTGTTGAATGACATAATACTCATGAAACCATCTCCCAGAATTAAGGGCTTTTATTATTGTTGAAATTTTATTGAGGTCTTTTTGGGGGGTGGAATACGTTAATAAAAAAGTCAGTCTCAATCTCTCTCTCTCTCTCTTTTTTTCTCTCCTACAATATTTATCTAACCACAGGATAAGATGATAGCACATGGGAAAGTAAGACTGATTTCTGCTTATCTACAACCCTATACAACTGCTTACATAGAAAATACCTCCCCAAAGAATTCAGTGTGCTATGAATTACTATTTAAAAGATCAGTCACAGACTTGGAAAAATATATCTCTTATATTAAAAATTTGCTAAAACATGCCTGGTTTAGTTTTGTGTAAAATATGGCTCAGTGATACTGGGAGTCAAAAGAAATCTAAGGAAAATCTCTAGATGATAATAACCATATCAAGGATGAATCTAGCTATAAGGACTCATTATTACTGGCCTCTTGATTAGACAGGTGGCTCTAACAGGCTGCTGTTTGTGTCATCTTAAAATGATAAATAAGCTAAACCAGGTATTTTCTATTTGATTTATGAACTAACTATCATAAAGAGTGGTCTATACATTTATATAAATACAACCCAGATTTTCTATGAATCATACTCTGCAAGGATCACTGTGACTCTAAAATTTCCTAATATTTATGTATAATTTCCTGGATTATTGGGCACTATAAACTGAAAATATTGCCAAATTTACAAATATTATTAGGCTCTCTCTGCAACTACCACAATTATGGTGATATTTCCTTTCCCCATTTGGAACTAAGGAAACAAAGCAGATATTAAAGTAAAAATACTGTGAATTCTAATAAAATCTGAAAGATAAAGGACTATTGACATTCCCATTACCAATAAAGGCCAAATATATTTTATATCTAAATCTAAATGATCTAAAAATGGTAACTAGTAAGTTCATTTGGGGCAATCGAGGTAGTATAATTAGATTGTCTCATGGAAAATGCCTGTAGAACTAGGTAGAACCTGTTCAATATTTTACTTCTAACATTCATCAACTATGTGACAATGATCAAGTTATTGAACCCTTTAAGATTCTATTGTTTCCTCTATAAAATAAGGATAATGACAACAGCAATATTACATGGTTGCTTTTCACTGCTCCTGGCCTATGCTGAGCATTGAGCGTTGTCTGATGCTGTTATTGCGTTTTGAAGATAATAATCTGTAGCAGGAACTGCTACTTGTTTATCAATGTCCAATCTCTTTATTCTTTAGTTTTAGAATCCTTCATTTTGAACTAGACATGGCCTTATGGAATAAAGACTATATTTTCCAACATCTTTTGTACTTTGACTTATAGCCAATGGGAATTTCTTTTAGAAATGCTTTACGTGTGACTTCCAGGATACACCTTTAGAAAGAAAGAACAGAGTCAAAAAAGATCATCCCAGATAGAGAAGCATGGAAAGAAAAGGTTTAGTCCATGCTTCTTATTCAAAAGTGTACATCAGAGCATTTTAATGTACTCTCAAAGCAGAGGCCCCATGGCCAAAGGTTCAGATTCAGCAAGTCTAGTGTAGGGTCCATAAATGTGAATGCGAAAAGCAGTCCCCAGATAATTATGATATGCACATGTAGTTTGAGAACCATTGCTATAAGGTTTCCACCAAGTCTCATACATGTAGAATATGAAGGTTAAATGAACATCAATCAAACAATACATTGGAAACTCTGCAAACTGAATAGACTATCCCTAAGCCAGCCAAATAATGCCTGATTATAGAACACAGTATTAAAATTTCTGTCTCATTTGTTGTCTATACATGATGAGCTATATCTTGTAACTACAAAAACCTTTGTCTCTTAATCCTTCTATTTTCCATTCAGAATCTCAAAGTCTCTAATGATGTATTCTAGATTTCTCCTAATTGCATTTTTATGCAGTTTTATCTGCAAAAATAAATAAATATCGGTGAGTAAAATGAGCCTTGATGAGCCCTTGTCACCTCCTGAATACGTGCTCCAGGTTGGCTGCACACCTCCAGAGAGAGCCACCCCCATATCTTTCATATAAAGTCATCAACCACCAAGTCATTCTTAGAGAGTACTGGTTCTCGATCGGGGTGATTTTGTCAGGACACATTTGACAATGTCAGAAGACATTTTTAGTTGGTTCAACTGAGGTGCATCTAACAGGTAGAGTCCAGGGATGCTGTGAAACATTCTACCATGCACAGGACAGACCCCCGTAACAAAAAGTTACCCAGTCCAAAACCAACAGTGTCAGGGTTGAAAAACTGTTCTAAAGAGTGCTGAAGGGACCCCTTCCCCTATAGACCTGTGGTTAGAATACCCAAAACACACATTATCTGAGAAGCACCTCACATCCATCTAAAAAATAAGCTCTGCGAGGAGACATCATGCTTGTGCCCACCCCTGCATCTGCCCTGTAGACATTCAATCTTAACATCTCTGAAACAGTACAGAGGAGGATGTATTCTGCAATCAGACCACTTCAGCTTGTGCTCCAGCTTCAGAATTTAATACTGTGGTACAAAAATTATTGTGATAGAAAATTTCCTAATATATTATAAAAATTAAATGAGATGTAAAGTTCTTAGGACAATACCTGGCACATAATAAATTATTAATAAGATAATGTTATTTTAAAATGAAATAATAGAATAATTTGATGAAAGAATGAATGATTTTTGTGATGCTCCAGCAGTGCAGAAAATTTCCTTTTTCATCTTTAAACTTATATGTCCTTTTCCTCCACCTCACCTTTAATCATAACCTAGTAACTAATAAGATATAACTTTACTTTTTATATGTGGACATAGATAATAGACACAGACACCTTTGTGTTACTGGTGTGACCTTCATGTCTTCAAATACCTTTCTCTTCCTTGTTCCTTCCTGGGAGCAATTATTCTATAAACCTATGAAGATCCCATCTTTCCACATATGACAGAACCATACAGAAACATCCCACACAACCATCTCACTTTTGCTAATAACCAGAGGCAAAATAAACATGACAAATTTCTGCAACAATTTTCATAGTGGCATTCTGCTGGGGTGACAAAATGAAATAGCAGTGCTTCCTATCTTCTCTCAACAATTCTCCTTGGCCTTTACAAACTACTCCTTTAAAGCTGCTCCCACAAAGGCTTCCATTTTGACCTTTTGTGTTCTTTCTTCTCCCACTCCACCCAGCCTGTTCACTCACAAGACATAAACTTACTCTTGTCTGAATAGCTGCAATGCATTGAGTGCCCTTATTCCCCCTGGGCCCAGCACTGTGATGGGCACATCACTTCCACTGTCCCTTTCAAGTTTCTCAACAGTATTGCAAAGCATACATTGTTATCCCCAGTCTATAGAAGAGACTGTGGCTCTAGTTAAGAAACTCTCCTCTCATAACTGGTGGAATTCAAAATCCAAACCCGTTCTGCCAAATACCAATTCTATCCCGACTATCCTTCTTTGCTCATCCTGTGCTTGACTCCTGGATGGCCTCCTAGAAAACACGCATCATTTAATGGAGTCCCTCTACTCTCAGGTGATTCTTTCATACAGGACTATTTCACTCACTTGCTGTTCACACTGTCTCTCCCTAGGGGAAGAGAAGGTAGAAGAACTACCTCCACCATGAGCATCTCTTACATTTCCACAGAGGCCCTTCTGATGGAATTTCTCATTGAATTCCTGAAAAACAAAAACAAAAAAATAAGACCACTCTTCCATTCAGACAAAGTGATCCTGCTTCAAATTATTATTTTTTTCCTATCTGAAATGCTGAGAGACACTTCTGCATTAATTCTAGGCATGTGTGGAGATAACCTAACTTTCAGCCTGACTTGCCATTTAAAAGATTTACATTTCATCAGAGAGACATATATAATAAGTTCTCCATATTAAAAAAAAAAAAGGAACTTTGTATTTCTTCATGTTCTTTCACTGGTATGACAGGGGTGTGTACCATTAAGTTGGAAGGGAAGAAAGAAAGTGAAATGCCTTACTCTGGCCAATCCTCCACCTGAACAAAGAATTCTACAAAGAGCGAGAGAAAGTAAGATAATAGGGAAAAGAAAGCAAAAAGAAAAACTATCAAAAGTAAGGATACTATTCTAATGCACCATCCTTTCAGTCAAGTAACCTGAAACTTTGAGGTTGTCTTTGATTCACTTCTATTATTTTGTCACCCAAACAAGGCACTCATTAAGACCTACTGATTTTTCTTCAAATCCATCTTATATCATCTATACTTTGAATATTTACTGAGAGACTGCTATGGGCAAGGAATTGTGCTAGATACAATGGATATACAATAGTATATGTATGCATGTGTGTGTATATGTGTGTGTGTGTGTGTTTGCATGTATGTGTGTATGTGTGTATGTGTATACACACACACACACACACACACACATAAAATTTCTGTGAGTTGTCCAGGAGATAGATACATAGGCAGATAGATAGAAGTAATATGTGTCTAACTATATGTCTAACACATAGAATATATTATATGAGCGCGTTTTTCATTGAGAACAGTTCTTTTCCTCACAGCTCTCACAATCTAATAAATAAGAAAAGATGTGCAGAAAACAGCAATATAAATTTATTAGGACAATGATCCAAAGAGAATTATAACTTAAGGGCTATTAAAGTTCAAAAAAAAAGAAATAATCTAGCCGAGGCAAAGCTTCATGGAGGACGTGAAACCTAAAACTGCCTAGAACAGTTATGATCTTGTATTAGGATAATTCTTCATTGTTATACCAATATTCTTTAAAATCTTACTTCAGTAATTGAACCACAGCATTTCATGGAGTTACATTTAAAAATTGTTTCATTGCCATGTGAAAAAGACATATAGATAGTCAGTGTATTTGTCCTTACCGGGTCTAAACCTGCATTACTCAGGCTTGATTATGACCTTCCGGTGGGCTTTCAAAACTCCAGGCTTTTTATCTTCCAAATTATTTGGCAAACTTCTTCAAGATTAATATTTCTAAAACTTCACTTTTATCATGTCATTCTCTTATCCTTTAAGGGTCTTTATTTCTGTCCATTTCCAATCTAAACTGGTCTTTCTGACTCTACTCTACCTATTTAATTTTACTCCCTGTAACTCTACCTTGCATCTTCCTTGGGAATCCAGCCTAGCTCAGTACAAGCTCCACAGCTCAACTGCCTGGTCTGAATGCTGATGAGCCACTGCCAGGCCACATAATCATGCACAAGTTAGGTGTTCACTCACTCAGTGCCTCAATTTCCTCATCTTAAAAATGGAGATAAGAGTTCTTTCCTCAAAGCATTAAATGAAGTATTAAATGAAATGATACTCAGCACAGTGCTAGTAAGTACTCGATAAATGATATCTGTATTTATGATATTTTTGCTTATAAAGTATACCCTCTCCTTTCCTGATAACATCATACTGCTTTTCCTTTGAGAAACTACCTCTCCCCAGATTCCCCCTGTCCCTGATAAATGTACCGATGAAGGAACTCCAGCATCTACATCATCCCTGGAGGTGGACATTCTATTCAAGTAAAACAAATTGCTCTCTCTGTCTCCTGGGATTTAAGGACTGCAGCTAAAATAATCTAATGACAGTGCCCCCAGGAGATCGTTAATTGCTATCTGCTGTCTAGATCCTCAAGGCTATCCTACCTAAGACATAATTGTTTAATTCTTCATTTCTACAAGTTGTCCAGAATCCCACTATTGATTTCCTCTCTTGTTTAAGTTTTCCTGAGTTGCTTTCAGATATTTTCAACCAACTGACTGATATTCATCTTCTCACTCTGAAGAAAACCTCAGGATCATCCCTTCCTTGCACACTCTCTTCATCTCACAAAGAAGGCTCTCTAATTTGCCTTCCACGTACCCATATCCACCCATCTTTCAAGATCCAATACTTTTTGATAATTACCTGTGCCTTCATTGATCTCTTTCTCTATTTTTGAACATCTAACATAATACCGAGTTTAGCTTCTCTTTATAAAAAAAGTGCTTGTACCATTCAGTGTATAATAGTGTGTTTGTCATATCTCAACAACTGACTCCTAAACCCCTTAGAAATCTATAATTCACACAATGGTTTATGTGTAGTATTCAACATGGTGCTGAGCCCAGAGAAGACATTCAGTATCTATTAGTTTTTGATTAAGGTTAATTTAAAAAGTTTAGAATTTTTCCTCTCTTTGTCACTCAAAGTCCTACATCTATGTCAACCTCTTATGAATTCTGTCCTGTCTGTTCTCTTTTTGATCTTCTGAATTATGCCAGTCTTTTCTAAATATCTGTTTATTATTAAACACAGTTGCTCAATGTGTATTTGTTAATAGATAAAGAAATGTTTCCTATGGTTTTAAGAAATATGGTAGAAATAAGTAATTTTCAGTGCCATGAGAATAGTATGTATGGATACTGATTGGTTTTCGGCATTCTCCATTCCTCTCCAGAGTAAACCTAATCAGAAAACAGCAGCATCCCACAAATCTCACAAGTTTCTTTCCTGCCATCTGGTCAGAAAAGGAAGTCATGAAACATTAGTAGGTGGCAGTGGCTAAGGACAGACAGTACCGTTAGTACTTTTGATGTCTTCTTCCACTCTGAATATTCAGTTTTACATATGAAACTGAATGCAAAGGCCTTCCAAGAAAAATATTTGATTTTTCAGCAAAGAAATTTTCCTTGTTTCCTGTAAATTCTATTCTCCGGAAATATTAATATATCTCAACCAAATATCTTCATTAATCGTTTTGAAATTTGACATCAAATCCTATAAGAATCATTTGAATCTGAGTAACATGAACTTTTAGAATATGATTTGTTTCATTATTTGCTCTATAGAATGGTTACCCACAGATTTTTTTACTGGACCGCTGCATATTTTATGTCTGAGACTAGATGCAAAATGTTTGGCTATCTTTTCATGTTAGCCACAATCAAAGGAACACCACTTGTTTGCCATACATCTGCTTACTGCTTGTTCTTTGATCCTTGGACAAGTTGAGATAAACTGGCATGGTAGCCTTAGTCAAACAGAAAAACAGATCTGGTCAAGTAAAGAACAGAGAAATGGTATCGAGTCTTTTGGCAAATGTGATGAGATATTTTTTTGTGTGTTAATCCTATTCTTCTACAGAAAGTTCCAGATACAATCTGAAGTTCTCTCAAGTTTAAGTCCTTTCATATTTCCTCTACTTACAGAATAAAATCAAAAGTTTTATGTTCCTCATGTTCTGGCCCTAAATCTCCAACCTCTTCCCTTATCACTTCCCTCCTCAATACTATACAATACTCTACTTCCCTTAGATTATAATTATCTTGGCTAAAACTTTAGTCTCTTTTAAGTAAAAGTCCTAAAGAACTAGAAGAAAAAGAAGAGAGAAAATATTTAAAATAATAATAATAATAAATCTGAAGTCAGAAAGAAAGGAAACAACAAAGAAAGGAAAGTAAATCCCTTTATATTACCAGATTTCATGCAATTACTTTACTCTAGATATGCTGGGACCCTACCTAAGAGACAACTAGATGGGTGACCTCCACTGTTACAACCTGAAATCTTATCAGAAAGATGTAGGAAAAGAAGCTCATAGCCAGAATCATCTTCCTTCTCTACCAAAAGAGAAATATACCTGGTTAGGCACTACACAATCCATCACACACATTATCAAGTGTAAACTTACTACAACTCTTCTGTTTTGTAGGTTTGTTTCTTAGTTCCATCTTTTCCCATAATTTCTTTAGTCTCTTCAATATGTTTTGTAGGTTTGTTTCTTAGTTCCATCTTTTCCCATAATTTCTATTAGTCTCTTCAATATGTAGACTCTTAAACCTCAGGGCAGTTGATAAATTGTGGATTATATAACAAAATCTATTATCATTTATTATGAATCCACCATCAGGCACCAGGGAATGGAGATTTGCGGAGGCACTCTCCATTACAACAACATCTCAATGGAAATCTTGGGGCTGGATAGGTCTATAAGCTCTGGGCAGTTGATAAATTGTGGATTATATAACAAAATCCATTATTATTTATTATGAATCCACCATGAGCCCAGGCCAGGCACCAGGGAATGGAGATTTGCTGAGACACACTCCATTACAACAACATCTCAATGGAAATGTTGAGGCTGGATAGGTCTATAAGCTCCTCCACTAACTAAATTCTGCTGACTCAGTCCTCTCCCTCTTCTACTGTTAACATGTCTCTCCAGACTACCATTCCACCCTCTGTGTAAGTAAGCATTGTCAGCAGCTCTTACCCTACACAAACCCCTGACTCCCGCTAATTCTACCCACATTCTAATCTTTACTTAGATCTGTTCTCTTCCACCCTCAGAGCCAGAGAGAGGGATGAGACCCTTCCTAGCTCTGGCATCGTTGCTTTTACAGCACTGTTCCCCCACTTCCATGAAAAAACTCTCCTCTTTGGGAGTTAATGATTTTCGCTAATCTTCTTCCCCATCAAAGCCTCCAGGTGATACTCACACTTCTAGAGTCTGAAGCCTGGCTTACGACTTTCTTGCCAACATTTGCAAGGAGTCCCCTAAAATGTTTGTGCTGTATATTCTAATATAGCCTTACAGTTACCTTATCTCTTCTCAATCCATGATTCTATCTTCTATCTCTATCCACACAACTTTGCAATAACTCCAACTCACTCTGAAATCTGAAACTCTCCT